TTTTGTTTTTAAAAAATGGGGGCACAATTTATTGGCATTTAGAGGATGGGAAGCAGAGCTGCCAGCCTCTTGTGCTGTTTGGACTACCACACAAAAACTGACTGTCCTGAGGCAGGAGAAATTTTTCTGCTGCCCCACCCCTTGCCTCAACTTTCAAGATTGCAAAAGTTTTATTGGTAAATTAAATTCAGTTTTAGATAAAGATTATGAGAAACAGTAAGGATTTTTACATGGTTTTAAAACACTCACTTTTCCAGTAATAGAGCAGTAAGACCTGGAAGATTACACACACACACACACACACACAGTTTTAGAGCTTCTTTACCAAAGTTATCATTGCAGAAAATCCTGTTACCGGAAGTAATGCTGTAGGTGCCACTAGGTTACTAATCAGACCATGCAATTTGCGTTTGAAGCCACAAGGGTCATGGCGATTTTATCATAGATGCGACGGGTTCCTCTGAAAGAACATAAGAATCAATAACTATTAAAAACCAGGAAGCCAACACTTGCAAAAGAAACAAAAAAGAAACATAGCTACACTTTAAACTTTTTTTTTTTTGAGAGCTTGTGGCGTTTGCGTTTGAGAACAGTTGCAACTTTAGTACCACAGTATTGTAACACAGGGGACGCGGGTCTCGCTTGAGGAGCGCTGCTTTGTACATTTAAAATATTCCCTTAAGAAAAGGGGATGGAGCTGTGAAAAAAGTAAACTCAGCGGACCCGCAGGTTCCCAGGAAAAGTTGCTGATCTTCTTGGAACTTGGGAACTAAAAAACCAGTGCAAGAAAAATTGTCCCCCGGCGGCGTGGGAATCAGGGCAGAGGTTCGGGGCACCGGGCAGCACCCGGGGACGCTGCCCGCCGGCGCCCCGCCTCGCCATTGCTGAGGCGGCGACGGGACAGGGCGGGAGTGGACAGTCCCCCTGACCGCTGCGATCCCCGGGCGGCGGACCACCCGGCCGTGCGGCCCAGCAGGTGTGGGAGCGCGCTGGTGTCCCAATGGTGCTGACTCTCCCCGGCCCCGCCTCCGCCCCAGGGTCGCCGGGCGGGGCCCAGCCAGGCCGAGCCCAGCCGGGAGCCCCAGCCGCCCGGCACTTTCTGCTGCGCCAGCGCGGGGGCCGCGGCTTCGCTCACCCGGTAAGAGGCGTCCCGCCACCCGCCGATCTGGGACCCCGGGCCAAGGGAGGGGGACGGCTGGGACGGAGGTCACCCCAGTCTGCCCCGAGCCCGACTTGTCCCCGCAGCGCACTGCAAAGCGCCCTTTTCCTCCCCACCTGACACCCCGCCCGCAGCAGCCGGACTGCAGCTCAGCTCCCAGACTGTAGTGGAGTGTCAGAGCCACCGGCCCGCCCAGCAGCCCACGCCCTCGCCCCAGGCGCTGGGGTCTCGGCCGGGGAACTGGGAGTGGCAGTTGTCACACAGCACTGTCAAGGACCGGAGGAGGTTGGATTGACGTGAGGAGGGGCGTCTACAGAGGTGTCCCGGGCCTGGAGGAGAGCCGGGGCTGATGGGGATCTGCGCACCGGGAGACTTGGCCCTTTGGTGGAATTGGGGCCTCTTTTCCTTTCTTTTTCATCTTTTAATTATCAAAGTTTCAGCCTAACTTCTTGCTCAAAGACCAGTAAGTCGAGCCCCTGGGTTCATTGCTGTGACACAGGGTTCTGACCCACTTTTGTGTCAGGTGTGGCTTTGGTAGTTCTTGGAAGACCGAGGACCCTTTTTTAGAAGACTTCTAAAGGCATAAAACAAAAAGCAAAGGTGTTATGAAAGAAACTAGCCGCCAAACACTTGCTAAAATATTAAAAGAATATAATGCAATATATATGTTTTTTAAAAAAGTGAGTGCATTATTAAATAATAAGATCTAGAAGTGGGTCTAGTAGCCATCATAATCTTAAAATATTGAAGAATATAGAATTTGAGATATAGGCAACACCTGTAGTATAAAAAATACCTTTTAAAAAATTGATGACAAAGTCATAGATATTGCTAACACTGCTGTGGTGGCTGCCTACATAATACATGAAGGTGTTAAATTTCAAACAGATGTCAGGAAAAGTAAAGATTTAAGTTCCAGTCAAATGAATGGGCCCTAATTTAGACACTCTGCAGGGAGGGCACTGTCCAGTAAGTTAGGCAGCTTGATTGTGGGGCTTAACATGCCCATGGACTACCATGTGCCCTTGATTTGGAGCCTCTTTGGGCCTCAGTTTCTTCACTGTTTAGAGAAAAGAAAACCGAAACCAAACCAAAACACCAAACTGAACACCTTCCGTGTATTAAAGGAGCAATACTGTATCCAGTGTAGAGGGCTGCAGGGAGTACCATTTTTAAAGCTTGTCTGTTTCTCTCCCCAGTCATGGCTATCCGATCCCCAGTGTCCCTAAATCTGGTATATGGAAGTTATTCAACAAATATTTGCTGAATGAGTTAGAGAGGGTTGCTAGTGACTACAGCCAAAAACAAAATTCATTAGGAGACAGTTGGGGGTTTGGGAAATGACTATTTAGAATCTGAGCTTCTTTTTAATCTGGCTGGACAAATACATAAATACACTTGGGTTGGAGTATGTGAAGAGTTGGTGAAGGCCCTTGGGTCTGTGTGAGTCTAAATGGCTGGTGGTCTACCAGAGAAACTGACTGGTGTTAGGAAAGCAGGATTCCTTCACAGAAGTTCCTTCTCCTGCCTGTGGCTGAATTTGTTAATCGGATATGTTGTAACACAGGAAGTGTCTTGTAAAGAATGGAAACAGATCCATGATGAATAATTTCTAGTTCTAGATGTATAATCCTCTTCCCCCTCTTCATCTTTCCCCTGTCCCTTAACCATCACAAAACTCCTTTATGACTTGAGATTTGGTAAATAGGAGCAGGGTGGGTAGTTTACCGAAAGCTGCCCAGACTGGGCCTGAAGCCATCTAAACCTTGTTTATAGATTGTGAGAATGTCTCAAGAAGATTCTGGCCTTGTAACTGGCTTGTGCTTCAGCAAGCATGTGTGTGATATGAGATGAATATGGAGGCTACTCCATTCTTTTTTTTTTTTTTTTTTTGTTTTTTTTCAAAGTCTTTATTGGATGAACATTCTAAAACACACTTAATCATTTTTGTTCCAAAGCATATTTGCTTTCAGTATCTTACCACCATCAATAATGCTACAATGAATATATTTGTCCATGGATCATTGGACACATAATGTTTTGGTTATAGACGGTAATTTTGGGGTGTTCCTTTATTTTTTTTTTTTTTTTTTGGTCTTTTTGAGTCAGGGTCTCCCTGTAGCCCCAGCTGTCCTGGAACTCATTATGTAGACCAGGCTGGCCTTGAACTCACAGAGATCCATCTGCCTCTGCCTCCCGAGTGCTGGGATTAAAGGCGTACAGCACCACACCCTGCTGTTCTTTAGCTTTCTCCGTTTGGATGATAGCCATGAGATTTTTCCCAGTCCATCAAATCTAAGCTTGTTTTCAATCATAGAGTAAGAAGGGCCTTTAAACTCAAAAGACACATCCATTCACTTTGCTTGTACTCAAAATGACTTACACACCCAATGGGACTTGTGATTCCATAATCTCCATTTTCTTACTTATAAAATGGGGTCAACAACTCCCATTGGTTATGAGAAATTATGTAAAACATATAGCACAATGTCTGGCCCACGGCAAGCCTTCCACAAATGCTTTTTTTTTCTGATGCTTTTCGTAGGCTTTACCCATGGCTGCTGCCCAGTGAATCATAGTGCCTATAGGTGCAGAGAATGGAAGTATGGTCTCCATTCTGATTTTGTTGCTGGTCCTGGGTAAATGTCTGTTATGAACTCCCACTTCTTTCTCCTCACTGAGAAGTGTATGAAGTTTTAGGGAAGGAAGGGACATTTAATCCATCTAGCCCAATCCTTCCTGCTGCTGGGGAAGAAAGCATGGCCCAGAATGGTTAAAGATGATCCTTACCTGGCACTACCTGAAATGTGGTCCTGGATGTCCTGACTCCTGTATGCCTCAGACAAAGCTTCATTCAGAATAGGTAACTGTTGTATCAGGTCAGACAATGGAAAGATGCAAGCTGTTGGGGAACCTGACACCCTTGCACCCATGTATGTCTCATTCTGTCTTAACCATTAAAGGACTGAATTCAGCATTTATGTTCAAACAACAGGTATATAATTTGTAATTAAAATGTCTTTTTTCATTAAGTCCTTACACACTTGATTCCAGGTAATGGCAAGCCAGTCTGTTTACAGTGACACTCCACCCTTCACCCTTACTTGCATGTGAGACTCTGAGTTTAAATTCCAATGTTCTTTGGCCTGATGAGTAATTTTATTGCAATAATTTAAAAGATTCAGGAAGCAAGGTGTGGTGGCTTCTATATCTGTAATCCTAGCACTTGGGAGATAGAGGCAGGAGGATTAAGAGTTCAAAGTTATCCTCAGTTATATAGCAAGTTGGAGGCCAATCTGGACTACATGACAACCTGCTTCAAACCAACCAAAGAAAGAAAGGAAGAAAGAAAGACTTGATTCAGGAAGCTAAGGCATAAGTCGATTTCCCTGCTGTGTAACTGAGAGCAAATGAATTCTACATGAGGTCTCCTTTCCCAGTGAGTCTGTGGATGGGCCCTCACAGTTGTATGCAGATCTTGAAAGGAAATCTGAGACATATTTAACCAGAGGCCTGCTAAGCATGATGTAGTTGAAGGGGAGTAATTTGTTTTTAATATACTAGAACATGAGTCAAACTCCCATGGAAAGTAGAAAATGGGAAGAAAAGACAAACAAGGCTTATTTATTTTTTTATATGTTCTAGGCAAAACTCAACGCTCAGTTAAAACAATTCAATTTACTGATTTATGTTTTCATATTTTGAATGCAAGAACTTTCCCTATGTAAATATAGGTTTTGTTTTCTGATTGCTAAAACAATCAGCTTTATCATTATAATGCTTGCTCTGATTATAAAATATTATAAAGTACTTTAAGTATGGCTAGGAAACTTGGAGGAAACTTCCTAGCAGCAAAGGGATCCAGTGCTTAATGACCAAGTCCTCATTAGTAATTTTTTTCTTTGGTCTTTTTTTGAGACAGGGTCTCCCTGTAGCCCCAGCTGGCCTGGAACTCACTATGTAGACCAGGCTGGCATTGAACTCACAGAGATCAGCCTGCCTCTGCCTCCCACATGCTGGGATTAAAGGCATTCGCCACCATGCCTGGCTCATTAGTAATTTTTTGTCTGTACCTCTTTTAAAGATTATCCTTAAAATTTTGTGTCAAAGGGTTAAGGAACCTAATGAGGCTGCAGGCCTTATAAAGAGTATAGTTGCCCCTGTTTCCTGAATGGCTTAGTCCTGGTCCAATACTGGAACTCTCGCTTCATAGCTTAATATTTAAGCAAATGTTTGGATTGATAATGTTCCAAAGAGAGAATTCTCTCATGGCTTGCAGGGTTGGGTAAAGATTGCTCCACTTTCTTTGTTTGTTAACAATATAGTAATCCAGTTCCCAAACACACAGGCAGGCATAGCAAGCACTGTATTACTCAAGAGAAGGTGAGCCAAAAGTAAGGGCATGGCTTGTATGGTCCTCTCAAGGAGCAAGTTTCCTTCGCTTGTCATACTTTGGACCTCTGCTTTATTTTACATCGGGGTACTTTTGTCCTCCATCTGAACAAGATGGTATAATGCTATATTTTACTTTCTTTCTTCTTTATCTCCCATAGCTAGTTGTTTGCCTTCCACATGTGACTCACATTCACCTTCCCTCCTTCCCTGTTGCCTAGACCCAGCCTTTGCTGGTTCCTATAGTGCTGAAACAGTCACTCAGTGGGTCTTCATGATCCTGGTCTTGGCTGTTAAAGGAGACAGACCCTTCCTTTCTGTCATGACTTCTCTAAAACCCAGCACAATGCCTGGCATAGAGTAAACACTTGAAAGTGCTGATGTCAACTGAAGTACTCTGATTCATTTTCCCAGCTTCTAAATTCAGTTTTATTCAGAACTTACAAAGGCTCTCAAGCCATTAGCAGGCCACACAAGCTGAAATCTAAGCCAGGACTGAGCAGGTAATTTAGATGACTCACCCACTCTGGGTGGGGCTGAGTGAACTAAAACCTTGTGTAGGGTGGAGATGACCAGCGACTACTCAACTCCAACCAAGTGTTTTCCGTATAAGAATGTGAAATTCCTGTTGTCAGAGAGACCAACCATAGGGGCATTAAAAAGAAGTAGCTCCAAAATTTTTCATGTTGACAACTAATTCAAAATTTAAGAAAACAGTGTGCAAGTTTATCCACTGGGATCCAGTCAGCCTATACAGAGTCACTGCCTTAAAGAAGATCTACTTTCCCTCACCCGGCAGTAATCAGTGTCAATAGTTCCTTGGCTAAGGTTGGGGCCTGCTGCCCATTTCCCCAGCTCTGTGCTGGATTTTTGTCTGAGTCAGCATGGGTCTTGTGCATGCTGTCACTGTTGTTACAAGTTTATATGAGCAAGTTCTCAGTGGCCTGAAAGCCTTTGTTTCCTTATGTTCATGCACCAACCCTGGCTTTTACAAGCTTTCTGACCCTTCTTCCACCATAACCAGTTAGGTCTTAACATATATGACAGAATGCATGAAATCAGGTGTGTGTG